TGAGTGGTTCCTTCCTAAATTCATGCGTAATAATCTTAATTATAAGAACTGTATCCTGCAGTGAGATCTGAATTTTGCGACCTGACACACACTAAAACATAATCACTATAAGCTAAAGCGAGAATCACTGTCCATTCACGATAGTTAATACAACCCTATACAACTGTAATGCGAGCGTAAATGGGGTTTGCTGCTGGGCTCTGGCCCAATCACACGGGCCGGGGTATTGGGGGGCGGAGCCAGTATGGGAAGGCCAGATCTGATGATCCGGAAGGGGAGGAGTCAGGGTCACGTGGTAAAGAGGATATAGGTGGGAGCCCGGAAGGGATCCCGGTCAGTTGTTGGAGTGAAGAAGCGGGACCACGTTGGTTGGCCGCCGCGCCATCAGCCACGTGGCTGATGGGGCTTCGGCACACCGTCGGCCAGCGGTGTGCGGAGCAGGGGAGCTGGAGAGACTGACGGAAGAGCACGTCGCGAGGAGAGCGCGTGCGGGGCACGTCGCGAGGAGAGCGCGTGCGGAGCACGTCGCGAGGAGACGCTGGTCCGCTTTCAGGACCAGCGGGGTGCGAGGAACAGCGGAGGAGCTGACGAGGGAGTGCGTGCGGGGCGCGCGCGAGGAGATGCTGGTCTGCGGTCAGGACCAGCGGGGTTGCGAGGAGGAAACTAAATAAAAGACCAACGGAGACCAGCAGTGCCCGACGAAGTCTTTTATTACACAACTAAGCCGAATCTAATTAAAATAATTGCATAATTGCCTAAATTAACATAAATTCATAAAAATGACACTTTCCATTAAATTTGTATTATTTTTCAAGACAATATATATACAACACTCTTCATATTCTCTTTATATGGCTTTCACTCATTCCCCATTCATTCAATCCATCACCGTTTACCGTCATCAACTTCGCTTTCACCGAATTCACGCATCACAGATTTGCCACCCATTGATTCCTCTCATCTATTTAGTTCACCTCATCTCCACCATTATATTAATGTTGTACTATTGTTTAATGTTTTTGTAAAGTGCCTTTGATAAGGCGCAACATACATTCTTTAAGAATAAGATGAGATGAAAATGACACACTCAACCAATCGAGGCATTGATTTAATGAGAAACGGTCGAAGCAAATACAATGATTGAATTCAAGCATTATCAGTTATATGCGAGCTTGCACGTACAAATAGCCAGCACACACAATTTTATATATATACGTATCTATCTTGTACATGTATTGCCAAAAGTTGTTCACGCAACAATTTCTTACGAGGAGAGAAACTGTTGCTCTTGAATGGAAAATGAGACGGCTGTCATTGCATACCCTTCTCACAATCATGCACTTGATAGCATAAAAAGTAACCTGCTTTGTTACGTAATATAAAATGCCAAGATAAGAGGTTTAAAAAAATTGTGGATTTAAATAATATTCTGGCGAAATTAAGATTTGGAGCAAAAATTTATAAGTTAGAGCAATTTAATATGATCCATGCCAGTCTTCTGTTTGTTACTCCCAGCTCTTCGTTGTCCGATATCGATTGTCTTACAAACGGTGTCGTCTTCCGCGCTGTCAATTCAATATTTGTTTATTACACCGAAAATCTCGTGTAGCCAGTTACCCAGCTAGTTTTGGTGGCAAGGGCACACAGCCACTAACAACATAACTACATCTTGGGACCTTTTTGCCAGTATCAAAGTATGAAAAATAAAAGTTTTTTAATCCTTTCTGGCAATAACACAGCTGTTACGATGTTCAAACACCAAATATATACCTTTTGCATGGAGAGACTAGCTGTCTCTGGTGTAGGCCCATCAATTTCAAAGACAATGCATTTATCAGAGCACGTTTTTTTGCATGCTCATCACAAATGCATGTGATTAATGCAGACTTTATTCCTTGCAAAAGCTATCTATTTGGTGTTTGAACATCTTAACACCTATTTTATTGCCAGAATGGGTAAAAATCCACACAGCTACTATTGAGGCTGCGATGCGCCTAGCCAGCAGCCAGCCAACACATTCAAAGCATGGGTTATTTTTTCATAGTATAATTTAATGTACACGTTTAAAGTTAAATACATGGCTGATTGTATGGCTTTTAAGTTATTTTTTTCCGTTTTTTTTCTCTTCAAGACTCAACTTGTTTTAATCTACTTGGAAACCAGAATACAACTGCAATAGCCATTTACAATGATTTTATCCGGAATAGGTAGAAATAAGCACGTCACCAATAAACACGGCAGCAAAGTGACACTCCAGTCCAACGTCACATATCCGACTCGCTCGGGAACGGTATACAGTAGCTGGATACGTGAAAAAGTTTAGATAAGTGAACATCTGAAGAAAATTAGTCACCAGTGCACAAATATTGCACTGGGTGTGGTGGGCAGTTAATCGATCACGGCAGATGAGCAGTGACTGGGACTGATATACAGACGTTGTACTGTACTCGAAAGATTATAGTCGGAAGACTAAAATACCTCAAACTGTGCACAAATCATGGACCCCCTCTGGGAGTCGCTAAAACGAACGTCGAGTGAGGCTAACCACTTACTGATTGAACGTCAACAGTGGCCCGGCTCATGCCTTCACCGATGAGTAACTGGGCTCCTGCCATAGGAACGTTGAAATTCCCACTTCATGCACACTCGTACTTTTGTTTATCATTAAGGCAGGTGTACACTGGGTGCAGTGACGCAGGTCGAACCACGTGGGTTCTCAACGAGATCGTGCTCTTTGGGAAACGGGTACTACCAGGTTACGAGGAAAACCCATAGCCTGACACAGCAACCAAAGGCTGCACTTTTTCAGTATTTTGTCGATAATCCACTGCTGGATGAACCGCGTCTGCTGTATGAAAGGAGATCGATCCCTCATCCGCTCTGGTATTGTTCGTGAGTGAACCCGTGCACAGCTGACTGACCAAGCGCCTGTATACCTACGAATGGTCGTCACTGATTTAAGTTGGTCTGATGGTACACAAAGGGAATGAATACCGGACGATGTCCTACCCATGCCGTATTAGTCACGGAGGTTGACAACGCTTCCCCATTCTGATCAGTGCAAGTTGGTGAAGGGAACGGGGTTCAGATATCACTTGCCACGGATGCTTGCTGTGGCTGGGAATCGAACTCGGGTTCCGCGGTGGCAAGATGTTAACTACCTCGCCTGGTATACAGGAGGCCGTAGGTTCAATTCCGACACTGATGCCTGTTGTATATTTGGAGTTGACATGTTGCTCTCCCCGTGGTCGCGTGGATTTTTCTCCAGGTCCTCTGGGTTTCCCCTCCACAGTTAGAATGAGCAGACAGACGAAGAAGAGAGAGGCTGCCATACATTTCCACGCGATAAGCTACTTCCTTGAGCTGTCATTTGTGATAGCCAGGTCGCTTCTAAAAAATTGCAATGCAGCAGCTCGGTGGGCCTTACCTGGTAAAATAAAAAAAAACAGATGAGTATGTTTGGATACCTGGTTCCTTATGCAGAGTGCAAGCCCCACTGTGCTATAACTCCACAATCCCGTGTTGGTTCTCAACGCGGGCCCCTTGGGAGTATAATGCAAATCTATTTACGTGAAATTTGGCAGTGTCTAAAAATAAATGCAACTTTTAACCGAATACATTCGTTTACATTCAGAACCCGAATGTCACAATAGCCGCAAACGTCAACTCAAGGACTTGCAATCACACCTCAATTTACTTTGTTGGTGGAAAGCCATCAAGTACAATACAAATATTGTACCCATTTTTTCTAACAATTGCTTAATGATAATGTACCGTGTGTGAATGCACAATACACGTTTTATTATCAGTCAAAAATGTAAGATTTTGTTCAACTACAGTGATATATTTAAATGTTTTTGAAAATATTAAGGTAAATTAATTATAACAGGATTAACGTCAATATATTTACGGTTACATGTATATAATGACTGACCAAAAACGTTTACAACTTAAATAAGCAAGTAGGAAGGTTTATTTAGTCACTGAAAGGAAATAATATATCATTAATGCATCTTCTCGTGACTTATTTCAGATCGTTGATTTCAGTGGCGTTACCCACAATGCAATGTCGTATATCTGACTATCCTGGCAAACTAAGGTATAGGCGGATCTGTGAAAAGGGCAGAGAAGCTAACATCTTTAAATAGTGACAGCATCCACAAATCCTGCACTGGTTGTGAGCAATTTATTGGTCAGGGCGGTTACGTGGACGGTCAGATATGTGATATTGTACAGGGACTCTATTTACAAACGAGTTAGGTTCCAGAAGTCTGTTTGTAAGTCGATTTGTTCGTGAGTCGATTTGTTCGTGAGTCCAACTTTACTCCTGTCGATTCCAAACATGTTGTACGGCATGTCCACTAAACACGGGGAATGGCTTTAAGAATTGTATAATCTCCTGTAGATGCCACTGGTTCTTCACATTCTGCAGATGTAGATGACACCGCCGCAATCTATTGCACGGCGGTTGAACTTACGACTCTCGGTCCGAACGGGCAACTGGACATGCGGACAGGTTTGTTTGTATCTCTGAAAGTTGATAAGTCGAATGTTCGTAAGTAGAGGAGTCCCTGTACTGTATTTATGAAGACCGCTTTCAACAGGTTCACCTTTACTTAGCATGATCAGCAGCAAGGTGTGATTCCACAAACTACTGAGATGCAAGAGGCTGAAGAAAGTTCTGAAGGAGTATTGGGTAAGAAGCAGAGAGGAGAGCTACTATTTGACAACTTTACATAATGGCGGCACTAGCGTGAAGTGAGGAAAGTTTCACGGTGGGGACAGGATGGAGTGTGAACCTAAGATTTGCCATTGAAGATGACTGAAGACGAAGAGGATGGAAAGTAAAATACATCACATAGTATTCACAAAAAAAATCCCTTCCAGTGATTAAACAAAGCGGCCTAATACAATTCTCAACCATTTATTATAATGGATGTAACTTGCCAGAGCAACACAATTAAAACATTTATCAAGCGATAGCAGGACATTGCTCATCTTCAGAGCAGCTTTTTCGATACCAAGGTTTCTTTCCTCGGCTGCAAATTCAACGTGTTTTTCTTCCGAGACACGGAGCTGCTGATGGGCTTCAGGCATAAGATGTTTATCTTCTTGGATCTCCGCTTGCGCTCCGAATCCTTGCATTCGGGCTTGGCGGTTACGGATTCCGAACTGCGCCTCATGTAATAGCTCTTCCTCGCCATAACCGGTGTCACTGCCGCCCCCCCTCTCCTTCCCGTATCTCTCCTCCCCGCCTCTCCCTTCTCCGCCTCTCCCTTCTCCGCCTCTCCCTTCTCCGCCTCTCCCTTCTCCGCCTCTCCCTTCTCCGCCTCTCTTTTCCCCGCCTCTCTCTTTTCCGTCTCTCTCCTTCCCGCCTCTCTCTTCCCCGCCTCTCTCTTCTCTGCCTCTTTCCTCCCCGCCTCTCCCTTCTCCGCCTCTCTCTTCCCCGCCTCTCTCTTATCCGCCTCTCTCTTCTCCGCCTCTCTCTTCTCCGCCTCTCTCTTTTCCGCCTCTTTCCTCTCCGCCACTCCCTTCTCCGCCTCTCTCTTCCCCGCCTCTCTCTTCTCCGCCTCTCTCTTCTCCGCCTCTCTCTTCTCCGCCTCTCTCTTTTCCGCCTCTTTCCTCTCCGCCTCTCTCTTCTCCGCCTCTCTCTTTTCCGCCTCTTTCCTCTTCGCCACTCCCTTCTCCGCCTCTCTCTTCTCCGCCTCTCTCTTCTCCGCCTCTCTCTTCTCCGCCTCTCTCTTCTCCGCCTCTCTCTTCTCCGCCTCTCTCTTCCCCGCCTCTCTCTTCTCCGCCTCTTTCCTCCACGCCTCTCCCTTCTCCGCCTCTCCCTTCTCAACCTCTCCCTTCTCCGCCTCTCCCTTCTCCGCCTCTCCCTTCTCCGCCTCTCCCTTCTCCGCCTCTCTCTTTTCCGCCTCTTTCCTCCCCGCCTCTTTCCTCCCCGCCTCTCTCTTCCCCGCCTCTCTCTTCCCCGCCACTCCCTTCTCCGCCTCTCCCTTCTCCGCCTCTCTCTTCCCCGCCTCTCTCTTTTCCGTCTCTCTCTTCCCCGCCTCTCTCTTTTCCGTCTCTCTCTTCTCCGCCTCTCCCTTCTCCGCCTCTCTTTTCTCCATCTCTCTCTTCTCCGCCTCTTTCCTCCCCGCCTCTCTCTTCTCCGCCTCTCTCTTCTCCATCTCTCTCTTCTCTGCCGCTCTCTTCTCTGCCTCTCTCTTCCCCGCCTCTCTCTTCTCCGGCACTCTCTTCTCCTTGGGTTTTTGCAGAAACTCACCCATCTGCACACTCAGGGCATCGGCTTTGGAGCTCTGCGCGGTCTCTTTCTGGCTCCTCTCCACGCTACAGTGGTCATTCTCCACTCCTGCCACTGATCCCATGGGCGAAGGTGGCAGTGGAAAGAGGAGGAGTTGGGGAATAATCCTGTTGATAAATTCCATGCAGGAGCCGCTGTTTGAGCGCAGACTCATTTTTGGGGATTGTGATGATTGTTCCGAGCCTGTTTTGGGAGAGGTGTGCGATTTCTTTGGAGATTTTCCCCTCCCCATTGTCAGTTGCTCCTCATTAACAATATGATTGTCATCTTTGCATTCCTCATTGGGTCCAGAAAAACGACAATCTTCATTTGAACGTTCTCCCGCCGAGTTATTCACTTGTGGCTGCTTAGTTTCCTGGATTTCTACAGCTCCACTATCATCAATAACAACCTTTTCTGGTTTCAGATTCAACTTTCTACCAGCACTTGCCTGCATGCTCTCAATTATTTTAGAGCTAAAAGCTCCTCCATTTGTCTCACCAATTGTTCGCGAATTTTCAAACTCGGCACCATCCGCGTGGCCGCTTTTTTCGGAGCAACCGCTCCCAATCAACGACCACCTCTCTCCCAACGGTGTCAGCAGTGTCGCTTTACGAGGACGACCTCTCTTCCTCTTCGCGGGGGGCTCCGAACCCTCGCAGGACTGCACGCCATTTGGATCGGCCCGCGCCTCCCCTTCGCTGACCACCACTGCTCCCGCGAGAGCCCCGGACCATGCCCTCAATCCGGCACAGTGCTCCAGCGGCACGACCACGCCTTCGCCAGCCTCGCCGTCTGCCTCACCAAGGCAAGAGACCGAATCATGAATCTGCGCCCTCCTCCAAGCGCACGCCGTCGAATCTTTGTCACTGCCGCCAATGACGGCGGTTGCCGGGGCCCGGTTACCACTCGGCACGGGGCTTGCCGACGTTTGCTTTGGCACAATGTGAGGGACGGGCTGGCCTGCGTTGTTACCGACTGGTTCGAGCATAGGCGGGTACTTGCGGGGGCGTCCACGTCGTCTCGGCAAAGCGGGAACCGACGGGATGCCGTCGCCCGCCCCGGCCGCGTGCCTCATTTGTGGCGGCCACATCTGTCTCTTCGTGTAGGAGCGCTTCTGCTTGGGCAAGGCCTCTTCCGCAGCCGACTGCTGCAGTGTCTTGCGCGGTCGCCCTCTCTTCTTGGGCACCGCCGCCGCTGCCAAGACGGCGGCGGCGGCGACAACAACGGCGTCGCCTTTCGGAGCTTGCAGAACCGACTGCTGCGTTGGCCCAACATGGGCGCCTTCATTGAAGGCCTGCCTGCGCTTCAGCGGCACCTTGCCCTGCTTCTTCTGCAGGTAGGCGCTCGGCGGTGTGAATCCTTGCACCATGCGCCTGCGCAGAAGCTTGTTGAAGCGCCACATACCATTTGGTATCAGCTCCTGCTGCTGCCTCGCACTGAAGCCACACGTTCCTGGCACCGCACCCGCGCACGATGACACGAGGGACGACGGCGGTGACTTTGGAGACTCCAATACGCTGCACCGCAGGCCCAGAGCAGCCAGCAGCCTGTGCTTCTTGAGCGTCTGCACGGATAGCCCAACTTCCGGAAGGGACCGAACGCTCCATTCCGGAGAAACCCGGCCCGGCTCGACCACGGGCAATGAGCTCGGCACCGCCCCGCTCGATATTCTGACGTCTTTCAGGCAGACTCTCTCCACCTCCAGCTTAATCTGCTTGAGTGACGGTCGTTCTGGGCCGGACCTGTCGAATGGCCTCTTACCGGCCAGATGGCCGGGGCGTGGGCAGGCGGTCGGGTTTGCCTCGCCGGCCGTGCCGAATGAGTGCATCGAGTGAGGCCAGTCGCAGGGTTCCGTCTGCACCGAACGCGACACCGAGAGTGGTGGGTGAGGCGGCGAGTCCGGGCCAAGCAAGCGGTTTGTGTGATGCAGCCTGTCAGGCACCGTGGCGTCGGGCGGCTGTTGAGGCGGAGAGGCCACACACTCGGCGGAGCGTGAGACGTCGGGACCGGGGTGCCGTGCAGGGGCCCCGGCCTCAAACAACCCAAGCGCGCCGTCCATCTGCAGGATCTCGGCCAGGGTCTGCACCTCGCAGCCCTGGCTGATGGGGTAGGAGAGTTTGGAGGTGTAGCAGAAGTCAAGCAGCGGCAGGAAGGTGTGCTTCGGAAAGCCTTGGGGGGTAGAAAGAGCGACAGGTATGGAGTGCAGGTTAGCGTAAGTAACCCTGCGACGTGTTCATTACAATGGTGACAGACGATAACCCGCTACCGAACGGCAGTGACGTCACCACAAAGCTCATAACAAAGCTTAGCTGCACTTTGAGGCCCAGTGAATTGTCGAGCGCTCACTGGCAGAAGATCACAGGACAGACCCATGTGATATCGGTTAATGGACCAAGGGTTTTCCACTCTGCCAGCTCGCCTTTGCATGAACCATTTTTGTTGTTGTTATTGTTTGAACTGCTGCCACCGCCCGCATTACCTGGCAGGTGCACGACGGAGCCGTGGTTGCGTTCGAGCAGCTCCTGCAGAGTGCCGCTGCAAGCGGCCAGCACGCAGCGGTGAGCGCGCAGCGCACTTCCCTCCACCAGCAGCGTCACGTCGCTCAGCGGTTGACCGCCGTCCTGCCGCTGGCGGTCGAGCGCTGCGAGTAGTGACGCACTGTGACACGGATCGCTCTTGCACACGTGCTCCTCCCTCACGTAGCTATGGTCGTTGCTGGCACCGTCCTGCGTGGGTGACGTAGCCAGACCCATCGGCAATGTCGGCAGCGACGTTATAATTATTGGCGACAGTAGCGGCATGAGCAGCATTAACAGCCGAATAAAAAATAGTAGCTGCATAATAAGAATTACTAGCAGCAGCAAAAGCAGCAGTAATGACATCAGAATTACGAAAAGCAGTAGCAGTAGTGACATTATGTTTATTAGCAGCAATAGCAGCAGCAATGACATCAAAATAACTTAAAGCAGCAGCAGCACTACCAATGGAATCAGCAGCATCTATAGCAAATGTAAAGTAATCATCGTCTACTACATTAGCAGCAACATCAACACCAGTGACATCAGCAACAGTAGAATCGGTGGAATAAACAGAAGCAGAATACACAAGAGCAGTCGTTTCAAAAACAGCAGCATCAATACAACATTCACAAACATAACAGCACACTAGCACCAATTCCCAAATCTTAATAAACGAAATTAGATATGGCATTAAAAAAAGATTTAATTTTGAATATCAGGTCCAATCAATTGTACTGCGTTTCAAGGACCACCCCTGTGTGAACCTTTCTCCACAGGAATAATCTGGCTGGCCAAACAACCACAGACACAAAATGGTAAAACTTCAAACACCGTCAACATGAAAGAGTTAATGAAATGTGCTCCGGGCCATCCGAAGTGGCCATCAGGATCTATTTCTATATATAGATGCGGTGCTATCCATGTGTAATCCACAGATTTTGAACGTGGGGCGAGTGGATCACGCAGAGATCACTGTGCGCTGTGAGACTCCCAACCTGCTAGGTTGCGTGGTGGCCAGAAAGTGGAGTACAGCAAATGGGTTGCCGATCTGTGATTAAGTATTTGTGGGTTACACCCTCTTGTACAAATGGGTTTTCTCTCTGTGTGCTTGGGGGTTTCCCCCCCACCTTCAGACGTACAAGAACTTGATTAGAAATTTGCCAAACGTCTCAACACAGTGAAAAATAAAAATGCGCTGCCAACTGCCACAAACGCTGAAAACCCCTGCGGCCGCTTTTACTGCGACCGCTTCAAGAGCTGCTGCGAGGCTCGCCGGTGGACAGACACAAAGAGCTGCGGAGAACGTACAATGGGACCCCCACCGATTAAAAAAACACTCCCACCTTGGTACTGCTGTCATGACACGGGCCACACGTCGAAACGAAACCCTGCACATCCATGTACATGCCTGAAAAACAAATAAGCCAAAGTTTCAGTCATCGGCAGTGAATGTCACGATTACGTATTGTCCACAGCCCACTCGCGCTGTCGCATGACTAAATGTCCGAGGTTCAAAAGTACTTTGGGGTTTTGTTCTGCTGACAAGATGACGTTGTGATCAGTGCCCTTAACGTTACAATCTCAAGTTTGTGAGTTCACGTCCGGTTTGTTTGTCGACTAAGCACATCGTCACTATCATGATCATCATCATCGTCGTCATCAAAATAATTCCAACAAGAAGCATCATTTCGTGGTAAAGTACCTACAGAGACCACACATACCCGGCCACATGTGGTTTTGCCTGAGGGCCCTGTAAGTGTTGATGGTCGAGTGGTGCTCCCGGTCCGTCTCGTGATAAGCGGCGATGATGCTTCTGCGGAGGTCCTTTGTGTACAGGTCCATGGACGCACTGTCGGCAGCCGTCAGCTCACCCAGAGTAGCGGTGGCAGCAGAGTCTTGGTAGAGACTCACAGGCGGCGACGACGGCGTGGCACTATCAGCCATGGTTCTTCCTCCCAAACCTAACGGACTAATAACAAACAAATACATACATTTCTGAGTTTGGATTTGAACCACGGTGCGGTATTGAGCAAGGCACTAACCTAAGAGAACTTACTGCGTGGGGGTTTGCGTGCATCTTTCAATGCGAGTCGTGAGTGTTTTTATACATTTGTGCTTGTGATTGTGCACGTACATAGTTGTGTGTACATATATCTGCGTGCATGTATGCGTGTGCAGGTATGTAAGTGGTACGTGTGTGTGTTCAGATTCAGTTTGGTTTGTTTCGGTTTGTCAAAACCAGAACATTTCTGCCCCGCTACAACACTCACAATAATTATTCATGGTGTAACAATTGATCAATGAAAGCGTATTCATTTGACAAGCAAAATCATGCACAGAAAATGAGTCCAATTCTTATCATCATCATCATCAGCCATGATCAAGCCACTGCTGGATGAAGGCTTCCCCTAGCTGTAGCCATCAGCTATGGTCCTGCAATGCACAAACCCATACGGCACGTGAATGCAAGTTGATTTCAATGCTCCATCTCCGAGGGCGACCGCTGCCACTCCATTGTTGGTGACATTTTGTGGGTGCCGCGATGGCGATGTTATCTACCTCGCCCGGTATACAGGAGGTTGTGAGTTTGATCCCAACCCTAACGCCTGCGTATTTGGAGTTTGCATCACTCTCTCCCCATGGTCGCGTGGATTTTTCTCCAGGTCCTGTTTTTTCCCTCCAAATTTTGAAACATGCATTTAGACTATTTGGCTGCTATAAATTTCTACGTGATAAGCCACTACATTGGGCTATTATTTGTCACGAGGTTGCTTCTGACAAAAAGCCACATAGATCAGTCAGCCTTACCTAGTAAAATAAAAAATACAAATTTTATCCAAGCTGACTTGCTTTCCTTAAGAGTCACTATCATGATGTCTCTAACGTGCCTATGTTCTCTAATCCACGTGTCCCTCTTCTATATGCTCTCAGTTTAATTTCACTCATGCCATCTCTTCATGCTTCCTATGTGATGATACACGTAATATTCTCAACGTACTACGAGGGCATCAAACGCGTTCAATTGTCGGAGTAGAATCACGACTGCCATTTCGAGACAAATTAGTGAGACAAGTGCAGTGATTAGTTGACGATTATTTTTTTTTATTAAAAACTAGAAATCCTTCTTTTCTAACCGGACGAGAGCCCATTGAGTATGTTTTCAAAGCAGACCCGAGTTAAACGAGGACACACAAATTATCCATCGTATGAATTGCAAATCGTGGCAAATTGAACAATGAATGAAACCAAAGTCCAAAACAAACAAAAACACAGAGGCACAAAGTTAAGATGAAATTGAATGTAAATTAATTATCAAGTAAAACGCCATACTTCAACCTTCAATAACCAGGATTTATAATGAAAGGATAAGAAAAATAAACCATTAATGTGCATGGAAAAGGAGGCATTGGTGGGATTGAAAGATGAAACCCCTGGTGTGCATTCAATGAAGGTTAATCAACAACACTTATGTTCATGAATTTACAAAGACTAAAATTGCTTGCTGCAAAAGAGCTGACTTGGGTAGCATTGCTTCTTAATGCAGCATTCAAAGCACTCAAAACCCACGTACAATGAGCTACACATGCTAAAGATAGCTTGCCGAAGTGTGCGCTACTTTTAGGAAACATGGCACATGTATACTTCAAGGTGTGTCTTCCGTGTTAAGGTTGTTACATGTAGCGCAAACAATACAGCTAACTTTGAAATTAAATAAAGCAGAACTCCACTAGTGAATAAACTAAACGTATGTTTTAACGTATTGGCTTTCCAGGCCAATATTATCAACCGACATTTGTTTAAGCAATCTCTGGACAGGTTTTTGACTTTCTAACTCATCAGCAGGCAGAGTTGTTCAACAAATATTTCCGGAATGGTATATATTATTGGCACGAGCGCACTGCATGGGGAATATGGGACCCCCCCCTTCAAAGCAAAACGCGATGTCACCGTATAAAAACTCATCAGACGGTGCCGTGGAGTATTGTGGGTGAAACAAAATATGAGCGGGTACATTGTGCCTCCAATTATGAGTAACATAGATGTTTTAGTCTATCAGCCTATGGCTTTCCGGGCAAATATTATCAAGATAACTGTGAAAAGAATGTATTACAAAGCCCAAAAGACAAATATTTACCAATATGTTGTTTTAATTGGCAAAATGATATAGCCAGAAACTTTACGGATAACCGGCCAATTAACTTTGCGTTGAACTGGGACCCATATGTTATAAAATGCGTCCTTCCCTTTAACATCTGGCAGCTCACCAGCATTGATTCAAGCAAACCCGACTCTGCTGATGTATGTATGTTAAACTTTTTTCACACAGTACATAGCCAGACATTGGATGTCAAAACCAGTCCGGAGAATCTTTTCACTCCCACAAAGCATGAGGCTTGGCATTTCTTACGTGGAGACAAGACAAATGGAGCATACATTGTCCGCTTTTCTATTTGGTTGCTTTATAGAGCTCATAATCATAAACTATTCTCAAGGTAAATCCAAATTATCAATTGGAAGACTGGGCCTAGTTTGATTGTATGTAGCATGAGCTCATTTTTAAGCCACATTGCCACAGTCAATTAATAGCTTGAAGCTAGAGGCAGCCAGATGATGATTAGCAGGCACAAATGTGACTCGCTTGTATAGAGTGTGACTTTGCATTTCTTCGTAATATTTGTATGTATCATCGTTTAGATGTTATCCAAACACACACGTGTAAGATTTGGACATGTTCACAGTAGATCTTCATGTTTAAAATTTAAAATCACAGAGGTTTACACTGGAACAGATGGCATCTCACGCACTTATTTTACTTAAATAATAATTTTAAATAATAAAATGTCTTCATTAATGAAATCCTTTTAGAGGTCAGTTTTTACCTAATTTACTACAGACCAAAGTATACGGGGCGTCACAGTGGCAAGATATTGACTACCTCGCCTGGTATACAGGACGTGGGTTCGATCCCCACCCCGATGCCTGTATATTTGGCAGTTATATGTTCTCCCCATGGTCGTGTCCGGTTTTTCCCTCCACATTTAGAAACACCATTTTAGAGCAAATTTCCACGCGATAAGCCACCTCATTGGGCGATTATTTGTGGCCAGGTCCCTTCTGAAAAATAGCTATATAGCACAGTGGGCCTTACCTGGTAAAACAAATTTTTTTAGTTTTAAATAGTTTAGTTTGGTATGAAGGATCATTAGAAAAATATAAATGCTGCTTGGCGATTCGAAACAAAGGATGGGGCAGGATGCAGGGCATTTGAGTCAAAGACCTGCTATTTGGCAGAACTCAAGGAGATTCAAAGACTAAATATTCCAGGAAATGTGCCTCACCGGTATTGCCAGAAATCTCGAGTACAGAATTTTGTCAAAAATAATGGCAGGATGTCATGAGAACTGGCTGAATTTGTCGGATTTAGTGAACCAATGTTTTCGTGTAATATTATTTACTTACTTAATCCAATTACCTGAAATAAAAAAAGATGCCAGGGAGGTTCTTCGGACTCCATTTGATCTGACTACGGATTGAGACTTTTTTTTACATGATATTGGTTATTCAATTGCATTTTTCCGCTGTAGAAAAGTCAATGTGTGGTATATGTTGCACTTTTTTCCCCCACCCAAAACAAATTTTAATCATTTACCGAAATACTAATTGGGAATGGACTTTGTGATCTACTATTTTGAACACATTTTATTGGCCGACCCAGCATTTACAGGGCTCATCTTTTACTTCTTCGGTCACTTGCTTGAAATAACCAGACTTGGAAGCACAAATCTGTCTTGTACTTAAGTTTCTAAGTTCTCTGTCATTTATAATTAGCTGCAAAGTGTGGATGTTTTTAAGGTTAAGAGGCCAAGCTTTTCCTGTAAGCAGAGTTCACCTAAATACGAGGTAATCCAGGGCGTTATGTCTCGCCCTCTTTATTTGCTTCTTTAACAGAGCAAAATTTAATTTAGAGGTCATTTTGCGACCAAACGGTGTCCGACGTGCTTACTACTAATGAAGACCAATTGACATTCACTGTCCGAGTGAAATGTTTAAATGATTCGTATTTTTTAACTGATCTCAGAAAAGTTGTCTTATTTTAATATGTATTTATAACGACTGAGAGCCTGATGAGATTAAATCGTTTTTTAACGAGAGATCTTAGTCACAAAACAAATACAGAAATACTGAACAATCCATCATGACCAACGGCTCTCAGGGACAGACATTACCAAAACAGAAAATATCCATCAATCTGTGTAACTTTAATTGACAAGGCAATTAACCAACAGAAAGTTTAAATTATAACTTCTAAAGATTACCAAAACTAGGACTTAAAATGAGGTGGGATGTAGGACTGAAAAGCACGAGTAATCACAATGTTTGAGAAAACATCACAAAGTGAGTGAACATTTTTTAAATTGTAAGAGATGTAAAATCGTTCCATGGGTGGACGTGCATTACAGTCTAAAGAACATTATTAGTCATCGCCTATAGTTTTTAGTCTCCGAACAATAAGAATGTTATGGCACGTCTTAAATGCCAAGGGTTTAAATATTAACTTCGACCAAAGTATGTCTCTTCATATTGCCCGACGGGGCCGGTCTTGGCATATAAATCACAGTGAAGAAGAAGAGGGCAGTTCTCATTTCATATAAAGTGCAAGGCCAAATGCAAAACTGAGTCCTGACTATTTAGAGCTGTAATTTGAGTGTGTTTTTAAATAAACGATCGGATCCACAGGAAGAACAAAAGAAGACCGAGTATTGGGCATTGGGAAACGCCATTACCTCCGATTAGTGTGGTTGGCTACGTACGGTGCGAAAGAAGTTCATCATACATACATTACAAATCCAGAAATCTTATGAAATGGTTACAATCTCATACATTGCTTTCAAGCTTAATGGAAAACCAGACACTGTTTTGCAAAAAATAATAATTAGACGCATCCCCTTCAAAAATTCGTCTCTCCACGTAAAAAAAAGAATTACTAACACAACCTGGGAGTGAATCATTTCAGCAGCATTGATTCAAGCCATGACAACTCTGTACTGGTTTAAACATAGTGTCTCAGTTTAACACGTAGGAGGCTTTTGCAACCAATATTATCCATAAAAGGTTAAAAAATGTTGGTCATGTCGCGCAAATATAAACCTCTGTTATGGATAAATGTGACGTTAAACCAGCCACCACCCGACACAGTGAATTAGTAAGGTTTGTCAAGTAAACAAAACATGCCAATTAGTTACTAGTTCAGCACACTCACTTGTTGGAGAGTAAACCCACAACATTTAAAAGTCGAGTATTGTGACATTTCAGCAGTAATTACAACCAGCCTCATCAGGCGACAGCCAGAATTGTCGAGAAATCCTCCTGCTTCGGTCTTAAAGAGAGGGGTAAATGTGATGTCATCACGTGAGGTGTGAAGACGAGAGGGGGGTTAATGTAGTCATGTAAATTACAATGGATATCTATTATTGGTTGGGTTATTCACAGTTAATCAACATACATAACATATGTACATTATCCGTTTTTGGGCCCCATAAATCGCAAGTTATTTTTTTAGGTATTGCGATCTGTTGATTGCATCAATGTATCACCAAACCTATCAATAGAAGGTGTGTACCAGATTACTTACTCCTGTGGAAAATGCTATGTTGGTCAGAAGGGACGAATGATCAGCATGAGATTAAAAGAACACCAATTAAATATTAAATACTCCCAAACACAACTGTAGGCAGTTGCAGAACACACTCAATTTATTGATAATTTTGAACTTTTGTGCAAAAATAGTTACCACTGGTCAAGACTAATTGGAAAATCTATTGAAATTGAGAGAAATATATATATTTTTAAACTGTTCTTATAGCTACAAGACGTATTTCTGCTTCGAAGCATATTGTCAAGTAATACACTGTCTAATTGCACGTCTATACAGGTCACCATACGTCGATGGTGATTAACGTGAGCAGCCAAGAATAGGTTTGCAATTTTTGCAAACCAAAAACTGTTCATAACCCAACCAATAATAGATATCCATTGATATTTATATGACATTAACCCCGCCCCTATGGTCTTTGTCCCTAATAGGTTCACAAGTGACGACATCACATTTATCCCTCTATTTAAGACTGAAACTGTATTTATCCACAATTCTGTCACCTGATGATGCTAGTTGTAATTACCGGTGAAACGTCACAGTACTCGAATGGAAAATATTGTGGGTTTACTCTGCAACACACCGGTTAGTGCTGAACTAGAAACTTTGTTTTGGCATCGTTTTGTTAAGTGACAAACCTTACTAATTGGCTGTGTCGGGCGGTGGCGGGTTTAATGACGCATTTATATTTACACAATCTAAGCCCAAAAAAACCCCTCTATTATGGATACAGTGTCTCATCAGCAGTCATACTTCCTCTCTACTATGTAAAAATGTTGTCAGTGTCCCAGTCTATCTACCTCGAGGTTAGAATGATGGACACTTGTGTTAAAAGTCATAGATAAATCGACGACATCCAAGCACATTTTGTTCTTGTCCAAATGGTCCTATCTTCTTTACAATGTTTGTTATTGCCGTAACTGTAATCATGATCTCGTCATTATTGGTTCGAATTTAGGTAAAGTTCCTATACTAGAAACACTTTACATTTTTATCAATATTTACAGATTCTTTAATAAAATACACAAATTAAATGTTGGACTATGTTTTGGTAATGTGTAAAATATCTACATGATCTATCTTTCATTAAATTGCCATACCATTTATTGCAACTGACAGATTAAAAAGATGCCTTATTGGAATTACAAGAGGTCGATGACATAGTAATATGTTTTTACCCTTTTATATGTTTTTACCCTTTTATCTGGTACAAAAACTGACACCTTTATACAAGAAATCATGTTTGCAATAACCACAACACAAGCAGTCAAAATGCAAACAAAAATAAACTCTGATGATATGCACTGTCCTTGAAGTTGATTGGTCCACACCCGAAACAGCTTTTCTCACATCCTAGTCTCCATTGGTGTTGGACCAGATGACGCCAAAAGGCGTACAACTCACTCGATGACAGTTTAAGGCGACGTTCAGTCTCGACGGGTTCTCATGGATTTAAATAGAGAATAGTGATAATGAAGCATGGACAGATGTATGTTAAGAATGACATTGACAGGAAGAGGAACACATTGCCCGGGGGAAAAACAACAGAAATTATGGACGTCACGTTCACTGTTGAGGAAAGTAAAATGGGCCCTTGGGCAGGAGGACAGCACAAGGGGCGAATGGGTGCCTGATGAGACTCGTGACAAAATGGAATCCATAGGAGAATTCACACCTCGGACGACAACCATCACAGAGATTAAACTAAAAACGAAACTTCTTTTATTTCACCAGGTAAAGCACACCGAGCTGCTATATAGCTGTTTTCCAGAAGCAGGTAAATACTCCTAAAGTCGAAACACATGTTTCTAAATGTGGAGGCAAGATCCTGAGAAGAAATCCACTCGACCGCTGGGAAAGAGATGCAAACTCCAAATATATAATAATGACGTCAGGGTGGGGATCGAACTCACGATATCTCCTGCATATCGAACCCACGATATATCCTGCATACCAGGCGACGGAGACCATAAACGAAGCGAGTTAATCTCATGTAGGTGGAGACCATTTCTGGGAGCGCGAGAGATGCGGCGGGCATGTGAAGGCCTTCACCCAGTAGTCGACAAAAACGTGACCCAGGTTATATCTTTGAACTTCCGATGTAACGAACATGATGCTCACGTTGATTGCGACAAGGATGAAACTCATACACGGTTGCAAAACCATCACGACATTGCGATGACAACGATGAGCTCGACGATTCTGACGTTCGTGAGAAGTGGCAGTCAACCCGAGATTAGGATTTGAATGCCGGTACAAGGGGGAGAAGTAATCCCAAACCAAACGAGCAATAAGTAATATAAAAAAACTTTTTTTTAAACACGCTTTAATGAAATGTACCGTACGAGTAATGGCAGAACTCCACGACTCCATTTACAGCCAACGTCAGTTGGGCGTGGATAATTAGACCCAAGCCGCAACATAACATTAAAAAAAGTTAAAAAGTATATATTTTTTTACTTTTAATGATAGAATATAGTGTTGTCATCAATATGACATAAGTATACCAAGTTTGCAGTCGATACCACATTTGGAAGTGGGTTAAAATTGAGTTACAAGATTTGAGGATACGACAACAACAGATAGAGTGAGTTAATAGAAAGCGCGTAAAGTAATAATAGAAAGCGCGTAATACTGTAATACAAACTGATGCTGTTGTGGTCATCTCTGCTGGCGGTCCTAAGCCATTTGTGGAAACTCCACGTTCCTTGTGACGAGAGCCAATCTTAGCGCAGGGACAATCGCTATAATTACCACACATTGTTCCTTGACAGGAAGAAAAGGACAAAGGATGAATGAAATGTGACAATTTGTGAATGTTAAGATGAATAAGTTAAGATGAGGGTTATGTTTGTATCTAATCCCTACCCCACTGGGACTATAACCCATGGAGTGTATCATATTTTCGACGTGTTGCAACTGATAAAAATATATATATTCATGATCTTATTGCTGTGTAGTTGTATTACGAAGTGAATACGTATAAGCTTAAGAGTGACATTTTAGGTTGAATAATCTTGTACCTGCGGAAATACCGTCCACTGTAGTAATACAGTCAGGCTTGCCTGTATATTTGTAATGATTTATAATGATTTAAACTCGTATTACATCTGTAAATTACTTTGCCAGTAAATTTAAATGTGTTCGATAATGTGTTCAACGATGTAAATTTTTTTAAACATAAATATTATTCACGTAATTATTTATAAGCGCCCTGTTAAAGTGATCGTGGCCCATCATCCGTGCCTGTCCGACTGTACCGGATTGTAAAGAACACACAAAAAAATATGTATTGGACAAATTAAAGTGTAAACATTTTTACATTTCACTTTAAAATATCCTTAAACTTGTAACGATTATTAGTTTAACCAACGCTTGCGATTTTCGTAAGAATTAAAAAAAAAAGTTAAACGACGGCGGCTGGCGAAGAAGCACAACTAGTATACAAACACACGCGCCAAAAATAAATATACCTCTCCGCAGATAAAACTCCAACAAATTTGAAATTAATTCACGGCAAAGAATAAGACATCGTTATACACATTCTGTAATTAAAACAGGGGTGATTATTTTAAACAAAACTATAAAAATGACAAAATCACAACTTCCCCCTCGCACCCCTCCCCACGCTGACCGACGAGAGCTCTAAAGAAGCGGTGGGCGTTCGGCAAAAAAACGCTAACGTAAAAAATAGAAAAACAACTTATAAAAAAACTCACGAAACTCACAAAGCCGACGATAAACTCGTCCGTCCACGTATAACTGTGCTTTAAAATTATATCGGTCGTGTTTTCATCGCTTGTTTTTAATTATTTCACTGTTTAATTCGAGTCGGCTCGCAGCCTGCGATCACTTCCCGGGGTGCGGGCGGCGGCTCGATCCCGGGGCACCCAGAACAAGACGAAGCACTCACACACAGAGTGGAGCACACTCACACACACAGAGTGGAGCACACTCACACACACAGAGTGGAGCACACTCACACACACAGAGTGGAGCACACTCACACACACAGAGTGGAGCACACTCACACACACAGAGTGGAGCACACTCACACACACAGAGTGGAGCACACTCACACACACAGAGTGGAGCACACTCACACACAGAGTGGAGCACACACACAGAGTGGAGCACACTCACACACAGAGTGGAGCACACTCGCACACAGAGTGGAGCACACTCACACACACAGAGTGGGTCACTCACACAGAGTGGAGCACACTCACACACAGAGTGGGCCACACTCACACACAGAGTGGGGCACTCACACAGAGTGGAGCACACTCACACACACAGAGTGGGGCACTCTCTCACACAGAGTGGAGCACACTCACACACACAGAGTGGAGCACACTCACACACAGAGTGGAGCACACTCACACACTCACACACACAGAGTGGGGCACACTCTCACACAGAGTGGAGCACACTCTCACACAGAGTGGAGCACACTCACACACACATAGTGGTGCACTCACACAGAGTGGAGCACACTCACACACACAGAGTGGGTCACTCACACAGAGTGGAGCACACTCACACACACAGAGCGGGCCACACTCACACACAGAGTGGGGCACTCACACAGAGTGGAGCACACTCACACACACAGAGTGGAGCACTCACACACACAGAGTGGAGCACTCACACACACAGAGTGGAGCACACTCTCACACAGAGTGGAGCACACTCACTCACACAGAGTGGAGCACACACACAGAGTGGAGCACACTCTCACACAGAGTGGAGCACACTCACTCACACAGAGTGGAGCACACACACACACAGAGTGGAGCACACTCACACAGAGTGGAGCACACTCACTCACACAGAGTGGAGCACACTCACACACAGAGTGGAGCACACTCACACACAGAGTGGAGCACACTCACACACAGAGTGGAGCACACTCACACACAGAGTGGAGCACACTCACACACACAGAGTGGAGCACACTCTCACACAGAGTGGAGCACACTCACACACACAGAGTGGAGCACACTCTCACACAGAGTGGAGCACACTCACTCACACAGAGTGGAGCACACTCACACACACAGAGTGGAGCACGCTCACACAGAGTGGAGCACACTCACTCACACAGAGTGGAGCACACTCACACACAGAGTGGAGCACACTCACACACAGAGTGGAGCACACTCACACACTCACACACAGAGTGGAGCACACTCACACACAGAGTGGAGCACACTCACACACTCACACACTCACACACACAGAGTGGGGCACACTCTCACACAGAGTGGAGCACACTCTCACACAGAGTGGGCCACACTCACACACAGAGTGGGGCACTCACACACAGAGTGGAGCACACTCACACACACAGAGTGGGGCACTCACACAGAGTGGAGCACACTCACACACACAGAGTGGGGCACTCTCTCACACAGAGTGGAGCACACTCACACACACAGAGTGGGGCACACTCTCACACAGGGTGGGGCACACTCACACACACAGAGTGGGGCAGACTCTCACACAGAGTGGAGCACACTCACACACAGAGTGGAGCACACTCACACACAGAGTGGAGCACACTCACACACAGAGTGGAGCACACTCACACACTCACACACACAGAGTGGGGCACACTCTCACACAGAGTGGAGCACACTCTCACACAGAGTGGAGCACACTCTCACACAGAGTGGAGCACACTCACACACAGAGTGGGGCACTCACACACAGAGTGGAGCACACTCACACACACAGAGTGGGCCACACTCACACACAGAGTGGGGCACTCACACACAGAGTGGAGCACACTCACACACACAGAGTGGGGCACTCACACAGAGTGGAGCACACTCACACACACAGAGTGGGGCACTCTCTCACACAGAGTGGAGCACACTCACACACACAGAGTGGGGCACACTCTCACACAGGGTGGGGCACACTCACACAATCACACACACAGAGTGGGGCAGACTCTCACACAGAGTGGAGCACACTCTCACACAGAGTGGGGCACACTCACACAGAGTGGGGAACACTCACACACACAGAGTGGGGAACACTCACACACAGAGTGGAGCACACTCACACACAAAGTGGGGCACACTCACACACAGAGTGGGCCACACTCACACACAGAGTGGGCCACACTCAGACACAGAGTGGGGCACTCACAGAGTGGGGCACTCACAGAGTGGGGCACACTCACACACACACAGTGGGGTACTCACACACACACTGGGGCACACACTCACACAGAGTGGGGCACACTCACACACAGTGGGGCACACTCACACACAGAGTGGGGCACACTCACACACAGAGTGGGGCATACTCACACACAGAGTGGGGCACGCTCACAGAGTGGAGCACTCACACACACAGAGTCGGGCACACTCACACACAGAGTGGGGTACTCTCACACACAGAGTAGGGTACACTCACACACAGAGTGGGCCACACTCACACACAGAGTGGGGCACACTCACACACAGAGTGGGGCACTCTCACACACAGAGTGGGGCACACTCACAACGAGTGGGGCACGCTCACAAAGAGTGGGGCACGCTCACACACAGAGTGGGCCACACTCACACAGATTGGGGCACACTCACACAGAGTGGGGCACTCTCACACAGAGTGGGGCACACTCACACACAAAGTGGGGCACACTCACACAGTGGGCCACACTCACACACAGAGTGGGGCACACTCACACACAGAGTGGGGTACACACACAGTGGGGTGATCTCTCACACGGACTTTCACACGGATGTTTAACTTTTTGCACCATATGTAGCCAACCACGCTAATCAGAGGTACGGGGGAAGGACGACAAAGTCAACAAAAACATTGTTCTAAAGCATTTTTTTCGATTTAAAGCTTTCGTGACTGCAGGGATTCATCTTCTTGGTTCTTTCGGTAAAGTCACGTAGAAGGGAAATAATAAAATAATATAAATAAAACACACCCAGCCATTAGATTCACCATGGAAGTCGAAAAAGATGGCAAGCTACCCTTTTTGGATGTCCTAATTAAAAGGAGACCTGATGGTTCAATGAACCACTCTGTCTACAGGAAAGCCACCCATCCATCCCAGAATAATTCCCTCATCAAGACTCTACACCATAGAGCCCAATGCATCTCCGACCAGGAACACATTGCCAGTGAACTCAAACACGTACGCCAAGCTCTTAAGGCTAATGGTTACTCCGACTACACAATCCGCAAAGCCATCACTCCAACCATCAAGAAGGATCCTGATAATTGTTTTTTTACCCTTCTATCTGGCAACAAAACTGACACCTTTTTGCAAGGAGTCATGTTTGCATAGACCGCAATACCTGCAGTCATAATACAAACAAAAGAACATAACTCTGATAATGTGCACATTATCAGAGTTATGTTCTTTTGTTTGTATTATGACTGCAGGTATTGCGGTCTATGCAAACATGACTCCTTGCAAAAAGGTGTCAGTTTTGTTGCCAGATAGAAGGGTAAAAAACCAATTATCATATTTTTACTGGCAAATGAGGTCCCCATAGTGAAGAAGGATCCTGTTGAGGAGCCTTTCAAGACCATCACCTTACCCTACATTGCTGGGGTCACAAAAAAGATCTCCAAAATCCTGATTAAACACAAGATCCAGGTCCGATTCAACACAGTACATAAAATCCGTGATCTGGTCCCGTCTGTAAAAGATGTGGTTCCAGACATACAGTACCCTGGCGTCTACAAACTAAGTTGCCTCTGTGGTAGCAGT